ATCTTTCCAGAAGCAGAAGGGCCTCAGCTTTCTCCCTCAGAGAACTTGGTGGATTTGAACCATATGCCTTGGGGTCTGCAGAACAGCTCTTTAACACCTAGGCCACCAGAGCTCAGTTTTGATGAGCAGTAGTTGAAGGCTTTGACAACCATGCTACCAGGGGCCCTTCCAGGCTGCTGGTTAAATCAAAGACACCTCATTCTTGCCCATCTGCTGAGTACTAGGGATTTGTGAAGGCTCACTCTCTCTGGGAGCAGTTTTGTAAGGAGAATGTTAATATTCCAGCACACACACAGAGAGAGAGAAACTCACACTCTCACTCACATTTTGAGCGAAATCCAGGGTCAGTTTGTAATCCCAACACCCACAAACTGAATTCCAGCAAAGGAGGACCATGACAAGGCAACGTAGAAACCAGAACACGCTGAACGCACGTTCTTTGGACATATTTATTTTACACTTGTTATACGTGTTGACAATCCAGGCTGGGTTTTCATTCATTTTGGTGGTTTTTTCCCCCTGGCAAAGTGAGGACGTGGGAGCACACTTAAAAGGGTTCCCTAAATTCCCCGTCCGGGTTCCTGCTTTAATTAGAGGGATGGGTTGCCGAGTGGAGAAGACCTGGCACGTGTGGTGGTGCCAGGTGTGTGGCGTTTTGCCTGGATCAACTTGTAAGTGGATTGTTGACTTTTAAGGGAGTTGCTATTGTGTGTATTTGCTCTCAGTCTCTCAGTATCTGTCTTTCTGTCTCTGTGTGTGAGATTTGAAAGCCTCCCACAATAGTGGCAATGTATCATGCAGAAGCTGGAAATTCTACCCTCTAGAAATTTTAAAAGCCTTTATTTATATGTGTGTGTGTGTGTGTGTGTGAATATACACACACATATACATATGTGTGAATGTATACACATATACATATATGTAAATATATACACAAATACATGTGTATATACATGCATATATGTGAACATATACACATATACATATGTGTGCATATATGCACACATATACATACAGTTGAATATATATACATATATGTGTATATATACACATATGCATATGGGCATATACACATAATATGAATATAGACACATATACGTATATGCGGATATGGACACATACATATATGTGGCTATACATACACATGCGAATATGTACACACATATGTGAATATACACGCATATACATATATGTGAGTATATACACATATACTTATATGTGAATATATATATATACACATATACATATATGTGAAAAAATATATCTTTTTTAAATGCACTGTTTTACCAGTTCTTCTGGCCATGGGCTGAGCCCTGATATGAATGCTGACTTTGTGTGTGTGTGTGTGTGTGTGTGTGTGTGTGTGTGTGTGTGTGTGTTTAAGACCCGTGGCTGTTCTGCAAGCAGCCAGACAGGCCTTTATTCCTGGGCATTTCTGGGTGTTATCTCAGCCCGCACGGATTTCCTCCTGCGAGTGTGACCTCTGGGTTTCACGCCAGCCTGATCTTCTTCCAGGCAGGTTTCTCAAATCAACTTCCTCTGTCGTGGCAGCTGCCCTTCTGAATGTGTCTGCCCCGAGATGCTGCAGAAGTTAGGCCTGGCAAATTCCTGGAGGTGAAGCCACCGGTGGGAGGGCCGCCAGGGAAGCTGTTCTTGGAGTGATAAACAGGCCAGGTGCAGAAACGTCTCCTCTGAAAGGCCTCCTTTCCCTCTTTCGTCCCCAAGGGCTGAGAGGGACAGTGAAATGGTTCATTCTGAAGACGTTCCCAGTCGGCTTAGTGGTGCTCACTAGCTCTCTTCCTCTGCGCTGTCCGGGGTCACCAAACATTTTCACGTCCAGGGTCCACGTAGCCCTGCACAACCCCGCCATCCCGGGCCCCAAAGAAGCCCCCGCTGCCCCCTGCGTCCCCAGGCGCCAAGCCCTGTTCCTGTCCGAGACCCCACTCGCCTTCGTCTTCATCCTCGGGCTCTGCCTCCCCGGCACCTCGCAGGTTCTCATAGAGAAACACCTGCTGGTCCACCTGGGAAGGGGCCAGGCGGCCTCGCTTGGCGCTGACCACGTTGGCCGAGGAGCCGAAGAGGCGCTCGGGGAAGACGCGTGTGGCGGGGACGCACCAGTACTTCTGGAGGACCTTGGGCAGCAGCGGGAACAGGGCCTGGCGATCGGCCCACCACTTGAGCGGGTCATCTCCAAGCGCCAGCACCTTCTGGGACTTGAAATTGCTCAACTCTTCCAGCACCTGCGCGTGCCACTCGTCTTGATCCTCCACGCCCCCCGACTGGCAGAAGATCTCAGCCAGCATGTCCTGCACGGCGCTGGCCGGCGGGGGCGAGGCCACGGCCACCTTCTTGGGCGGGGGCTCCTCCGGGAGCGCGTACAGTTTGCCCTCGTGCGCCCTGCAGCTGGCGGTGCCATCGCTGTCCTTTTTCTTCTCCCACAGCCCCTTGGCCTCCTCCACCACCCTGTTCTCCACCTGCTGTCGCTCGAAGTTGGACAGGAAGGGCAGCTTCTTGTAGCGCGGGTCCAGAAAGGTGGCCACGTTGAGGAAGATGTCAATCTCGGGCGTCTCCTGGTAGGTCTTGGTCAGCTCCTTGACGATGACCTCCTTGGCCATGCTGACCTCTTTGCAGTCGGCCTCCTTGGAGGCCAGCGTCTTATTCAACAGCATATGCAGGAGAGGTTTCACCATGCTGATGGTGGGGTACTCGGAGCCTGACAGGATCTCGGCTACCTGCTTGAAAGGCTGGAGGAGCTGTACCAGGCCCTCGATGGTGGCCCACTCAGTGGCTTCCAGCATCAGGTGGTGGCTGTTGCTGTCCTCCACCAGCACCGCCGTGACCACAAACTGCTGCTCATGCAGTCGCTGCAACATGGCCAGAGTACTCCCCCACCAGGCCACGCGGTCGCTGACCACCATGCAGCGAGGCGCACCCTTCTGCCGCTGCTTCTCATAGAACATGTACATGGCGACGGCGGACTCCTGGAAGTACGCCACCAGCCGCCGGCAGCGCGCCAGGAGCGCGCACAGCTTGGGCAGCTGAAAGGCACGCTGGATGGCCGCGTTGAACGTCTGTCCCAGGCAGGGCATGTGGATGGGGATGTCCAGCAGCGAGCAAGCCTTGGACACGTCCTTGCCGTAGTCGGTGGTGGCCCCGAAGACTCGGGCGTTGATGCCCCACTCAATGAAGGCCTCATACAGGACGCGCGTAATGGTCTCGGCAGCGTTCTCCGCGGGCACCTCGAAGGTCCTGAGGCAGCGCGAGCCCATGGCCAGGGAGTTGGGGGCGGTGCTGAGGAGGAAGTGGGCAGCCAGCGTGATGTAGGCGCGGTTGTGGTACTCGCTGCGCCACGCGTCCGTGGAGACGCCGCACCAGGGCGCGCCGGCCAGCTCTTGGAGCACGCTGGAGCGCACGGCGGCGTAGCGCTCTGGGATGGCCTTGGCGCACAAGAATTTCTTGCTGGGCAGCTCGTAGGCGGGCTCCGCGGTCTTGAGGAGCAGCCGGAAGGTGGGGTCCTCCACGATGCCAGCGGGGTAGAGTCCCTGGCAGATGAAGGTCATCACGGCAGAGGTGAGCTCCTGCTGGCGCTTGGATTCGTAGCCCGGCGCGGCCTTGGCGGCTAGCGTCTCTGGAGGCTGCGCCTGCTGCGGGGACTCGTTCTTGATCTTGGAGAAGGCGGTGGCGAAGGCTTCACGCATGTGCTCCGTGTTGCTCTTGACAAACTCGCAGAACTCCTCGGGATGGTTCTTCTCCAAGTGGTAGGAGAGGTTGGAGGTGTTGCCGGAGTAGGCGATCTGCGCCATGCAGATGCGACAGTATATCTTCTTCCACTGCAGGATGCAGCCCTCCGCGTTGGTGTCAAAGCCGAAGTACTTCCACACGCGGCTTTTGGCGCGGGGATGAGCCACCAGCTTGAGGTCGGCGGGCGAGCCGGGCTCTGGGCCCTTGGTGTCCATGGCAGCTGCTGCGCCCCGGGGCCTGCGGCGCTCATCCGCGCAGGGCACCTGCTGAGGAAGCAGCGAGAGACACAAAGGATAGCTGTGAGAAGGGGGGGCGCGTACACGGACCACCACGAGGGGCCCCCAGGGCGAGGGGCTGTGGGTGCGCCCAGGGCGCGCGAACCCGCGGGACAGAGCAAGAGGGAGGTGCCAGGGCGATCCAAAGAATTGGACTAAAGTCACACGCCCTCACTCTTTGTTGGTCTCTGTCCACTTCCTAAGCCACATGCCTCTCTGGAAACTCTCTGAACTTGGAGAAACGATGACAGTGAGAGAAAGGCTTCAGGTTTTTTGTTCATAGGGTCGCTAGGGTGCTCGACTCAATGGCCATCAACAACTCTGTCTCACTCTGACACACAGAGTATCTGTTTCTCTCTTTCTCATGTCTCTACCTCCATCTCTGTGTCTCTCACTGTTTCTCAGTGTCTCTGTCTCTGGTTCTCATACACTGTCTCTCACACACACACATTGTATCTGTCTATCTGTTTCTCCCCATCTCTGTGTCTCTCACTGTATCTCTCTACATCTGTCTCTGTCACACACACACACTGTATCTGTCCATCTGTTTCTCCCCATCTCTGTGTCTCTCACTGTCTCTCTCTACATCTGTCTCTGTCTCTCTCTCTCTCTCACACACACACACATTGTATCTGTCCATCTCTTTCTCCCCATCTTTGTGTCTCTCACTGTCTCTCTCTACGTCTGTCCCTATCTCTCTCTCTCTCACACACACACACACATTGCATCTGTCCATCTGTTTCTTTATGTACGTGTCTCAATCTGGTTCTCACATACTGTCTCTCTGTTTTTCTCTCTGTGTGTCTGTCTTTCTCTCTCTGCTTATTTGTCTCTGTGTGTCCCCCTCTGTGTCTCACTCTATTCCTCAGTGTGTGACTCTCTATGTCACTGTCTCTATCTCTCCACCTCTAAGTCTGTGTGTGTGTATATCCCCCACTCTGTCTCTCATTCTTTGTATGTCTGTGTTTCTATATCTGTCTCTAATTCTGTGTGTGTGTCCCTCTGTATCCATCTCTTGTCTCTCACCCTCCTCCTTCTCCCTCTATAAGTCTCTCAATGTCTCTCTCTCTACCTGTATCTCTGTCTCTCTTCTTTCTCTCCCTCTCTCTCTCTCCCTCTCTCTCTCTCCTCTTTCTCTCTTGTGTGCCTGTCTGTCTCTCTCACTCTCCCTCCCTCCACCCCTCATTCATTCTCTCTCTCTCTATCTATCTCGCCTGTCTGTCTCTCTCACTGTCCCTCCCTCCACCCCTCATTCATTCATTCTCTCTCTCTCTCGTTCTCTTTAATCTGACAAATTTACAGTAGCATGACACACACAAGGCTGCTGATGGGTGGGAAAGGTCCGTGGTTTGAATCCACCAGCTGCCTCTTCAGGGGTAAAAGAGGCACCAGTCTCCTCCTGGAAAGATCTCCCTCCTCGAAGGCAGAGAAGGCCACTCGCTGGAATGTCCCCACACGTCGGAGTCAGTGAGACCTAGGGGTGAGCTCTGGTAACACGCAGCGCCGCGCTCGGCCAGGGGGCCCAGCAGTCTGAGCACACCACATGCTCCGAGGGAGAAGGACCGGCAGTTTCTCTCCGTCAAGATGCGTTCTTTGGGTTGTTGTGTGTCCCAGATCGGAGCCCTGTTCTGTCCTGTCCACACCCTCTCTGACACACTCCAGCGCATGGAGCTGCCGTTACTCTGTCCATCCTCTCTCTCTCTGAGCCTCCACCTGTCCCAGCAGGATGTCGTTGACGACACTTGAAATCCCCAATGCAAGGTGAGCAGGACTAAGAAAGGATGCTCTTAGCTGCCTGATGTGCTGAGAAGCAAACAGCTGGGAGATGGCGTGCATCGCCTGCTTTGAGGAAGATCTGTCGTCTGCTCCCGCTTTGGAAACCCACTGGAGGGGAACCCCCAATGAATCTACAGCTGTGGGTTTAGTGGGGAGGTGCCTGACGAGCTGGGCTGCTGGCCCAAAGGTCCCTGGTTCAAATGCAGCAGCTACTTTGGGGGAGATCAAGGAAAAGAAGCCTCATCATAAAGATGACCAGCCTCAGAAACACCGCAGAAGGCTGGAATAATTTGGAATTGATGCCAAGGGCAGGTGCTTCTGTTCTCTGCTGCACTGCAAGTTGAAGTGTTAATCCAAAGATTGTTGCTTCAAATCCACCCGCTGCACTGAGGGTGTCAGATGAGGCTGCCTGTCTGCTTTTGTCAATATTCCAGCTTCGGACACCAAACGGCAGGTCATCAGGAGTTGGGATTGACGAAACAGCAGTCAGTTCTGCGTTACAGACTGGACTACCCCTCACTTCAGTGGTTCGAATTCACCCCCCTGCTCCGAGGGACGAGGGGAGAAAAATGAAGCCAGTGTCTTCTCTTCAGCAGCCTTGGAAAGGGGACGTTGGGTTGTCACGAGGTGGAATTGACTTGGTAAGAGTGAGATTAACAGCTTTTACCGTGTTACATGCTGAGTTGTTTGTCCAAAAGTTGGTGGTTCAAATCCGCCCACCACTTCGAAGGGAAAAAGGCCATGTTTTTTCTTTGAGACTGTGAAAACCCCAATGGAATGACCCACAATCGAATCCACACACCAGCAACACGAACAAGAAGATGGTTGTTGTTGTTGTTGTTGTTATATGCCGTCAAGTCACTTGCAACCCTATGTACAACAGCCCTAAACTCTGTCCTGTGCCAATCGCACTGTCTCTGACACACCAATCCTGATTACCCCAGTCACTGAATCAATCCACCTCATAGAGGGCCTTCCTCTCCTGCGCTGTCCCTCCGCCCTCCCAAGCATGATGTCCCTCTCCAAGAACCGGTCCCTCCTTACAACATGTCCAAAGTATGTCAGATGGAGCCTCAGAATCCTTGCCTCCAAGGAGCAGCCTGGTTTCACCCCTTCCAGGATGAACCTGTTTGTTTTCCTAGCAGTCCATGGTACCCTCAATACTCTTCTCCAGCACCACAGCTCAAAGGCATCAATTCTCCGTGTATCCTCCTTAGTCACTGTCCAAATCTCTGACGCATAACAAGTGATTGCAAAGACCATGGCCTGTATCAGACGCACCTTAGTCTCCAGAGAGACACCACTGCTCTTCAGTGCTTTGGAGAGGTCCCTAACAGCAGACTTTCCCATCGCAATACCTCTTTTAATTTCCCAAGAAGGTTTGGAGTTCAAATCCCTCAGAAGGTGCCTCGCAAGAAAAGCGTGGCCATCTGCTTTTATAATAACAGCTGCACAGGAACTCTTGTGCGGGAGTTCTCCTCGCTCACTCAGGGTCACCAGCTGTTTCTCAGCCAAATGAGTGGTGAGCAGTCCAGCATTTAACCAACTTGGCCACCCCCTCCTCCAGGGCTCCCACGCACAGAGGGGCTGACGTCAGAGACAGAGAAGGGGCAGCTCAAAGTCCTCGATGATGCCGAGAAAATCTCATGCACGACGGGAGGTGGGGACACAGGTGCTCTGGAGCTTATGAAAGCGGAGGAGGACACAGCCCCGTCGTCTGCGAGGTGGGAGACCGTGTGATGGGGAATGTGGGTGGGTACGCAGGGGACAGGGTGTGAGCACACGCTCCCAGGAAAGCACTGACCATACAGTTAATTTATGAAAGGTAGCCACAAGCTTTCTAGTTGGGGGGAGAATTATACACACACACATTTCTGCAAAATGCAATAAAGCAGCACAGTGAAAGAGTTCTGCCTGTATGTGTATGTTTGTGTGTGTGTGTGTGTGTGTCTAGATATGTGGAGCTCTGTTGGGTAAGAACTGCACTGTCAACCCAAAGGCACATGGTTCGAATCCACCAGGTATTCTGTGAGAGAAAGATGATCAGTTTCCTTTCTTGAGATATACAACCTCTGCAAATATGCCAGAGGGTCAGTGAGGCTCTGGTTCTGTCTTAACAGAGATCAACTGGAGAGCTTTTCAAATATGTGCATTATCTATGTGTATGTAAGTTTATCTGTCTGCAAGAGCAGGATTGGCAATTTCCTCCCTTATAATGAAGGGCCTCTGAAAACACGCCAGGCGGGTCAGCCGTGCGTCAGCTCTGATGCTGTGCACATAACAACGATAAATAGATGTCAATGTTTATAAATATGCCTAAGGGACTCTTGGTGGTTTAGTGGCAAGAACTGATCTCCAATGCAAAGGTGGTGGTTGCGGTTATGTGCCGTCGAGTCGCTTGCAACTCATAGCTATGTACAACAGCCCTAAACCCTGCTCTATCCTGTGCCAACCTTACTGTCTCCAACACACCTCCTCCCACTACCCCAATCACTGAATCGATCCATCTCATCGAGGGTCTTCCCCTCTTGCGCTGTCCCTCCACCCTCCCAAGCATGATGTCCCTCTCCAAGGACTGGTCCCTCCTTGCAACATGCCCAAAGTACAACAGACAAAGCCCCAGAATCCTTGCCTCCAAAGAGCAGCTCGGCTTCACCCTCTCCTGTTTGCTCTCCTAGCAGTCCACAGTATAGTCAACACTCTTCTCCAGCACCACAGCTCAAAGGCATCAATTCTCTATCACCCCTAGTCATGTCCAGCTCTCCGAGACATAGCACAGAGTTGCAAAGACCCGGATCAGGTGCACTTTAGTCTCCAGAGTGATGTCATTGCTCTTCAGGACTCTGGAGAGGTCCCTGACAGCTGACTTTCCCAATGCAATGTGTCTCTTGATTTCCTGGCTGCTGGTACCCTCGGAGAAGCTGGTGGTTTCAAACCCTTGACCTTGTGGTTACAGCTGAGTGTGTCCACCCTGTGCCAGCAGGATTCCTGAGAGTCTAGAGATATAGTATCTCTCTAGTAGCCTCTCCTGAGAGTCTAGATATATAGTATCTCTCTAGTAGCTTCTCCTGAGAGTCTAGATACATAGTATCTCTCTAGTAGCCTCTCCTCATAGTCTAGATACATAGTTTCTCTCTAGTAGCCTCTCCTGAGAGTCTAGATAC